ATAAACAGAACTTACATTTATTTACACTAGTGATCTACATCTCTTTAAATCTCTCAGTGTAATGTGACTTCATATCAACACCTGTGATGTAAATAAACTGAGTGGGTCAGGTTGGAAATCCTGGTGAGTACATAGGGTTTTCAACCCACAATAATATAATTATTATTTTCAAACAATCAAACAATCAACCCAATTACCCATCCCCATTATCTGCTTTATTCTTAAGGATCTACCCTAAGAATCAACTATTCCTCGTTCATACATTCCAAAGGATCATCCTAAGGAATTGGCACGAAGTCCATCGTCACCGGGGTTTAAGCACTAAGTCTGCATAGTCGCCAGAATTTATACAATAGGCACTAAGTATGCATAGTCGCCAAGGTTTTGGCACCAAGTCTGCATGATCGCCAGGGTCTAGGTATCAAGTCTGCATGATCACCAAGGTTTAGAGTACACCGGGTGAACACATCGTTCACAACACCTACAGGTTGCGAGCCTGCTAGTGTTCCACTGGACTATCTAGGATAGTCCGTGGTTGTCATCCATACTCTGCTGAATGACGAGGACATCGTTTGGGAAAAAGGATTCTCACATCGTACACCTCTCACCCACACCTCATAGTCTATATCACCTCTCAACTCATCATCCAACTCATATTTCATCTATTATATCTACCCATGTTTTACCCCAACATTTTCGTAGATATAAAATACATATATAGTTTAAATCATTTAAAACATGTATAAAATCTTTCACCCAGCATAAACAGCAAGTATTCAGACAATATGCACACACCGCACGTAATTTATATTAAAATACTTCATATCTATGTGTAAGATGAAAGGGACTATGCACTCACCTGCAAGGTGGTGACTCAGCACTCGGACAGCGCTTCGATACTCTCAAAACAATTTCCTTCGATTAAACCTAGTATTAACACCACTAGGGTTTAGTCTACCGATATCCGCGACAAATTAATAGTCTGACTATTATTATTATTATATAAGCGTTAAATAACACTCAATATAACTCATAATAATAGACCAAATAATTATTTTAAGGTCCTAATAACATTACTATATCGAAACATAAGTTATGCTAAAGATAGGGTAGGCATAGCTCACTTACAGCGGGTTTTCTCGAAAATCGGGCTTCACTGGAGCAGCGTTTCCGAGCTGAAAGACCCTTTTTCTTGGGACTCCAGGAGCCTCGGGGCTTCCTTCGGGTGCTAGGGGGTTTACCTAGGCTTTAGGGGGGGTTAGGGAGGCTTAGAGAGAGAGTTTAGAGAGAGAAAGAAGAAGGTTAAGGGGTGAGGAAATGAGGGAACCTAGCACCTCTATTTATAGGAGGCCTAACTGGTGGACTCGCTGAGTCTAATTCATGACTCACCGAGTTGGTGCATGTGGCAACCTTCTGGTGGTGCCACGTGTCCAATTCTGGTGGTGCCGCGTCACCCCCTATCGCGTATCAGCCCTCAAACTTAGAAAAATCATAACTTTTGCATATTAGCTCCGTTTTCAACGTTCTTTATATCCACGCGTAGGTAAAATCAAGATCTACAACTTTCGTTTAGACTCCGTCGGCTAATTCTCGACCGATCTTAAATTTAATAGTAGGAGGCGTTTAGACTGTTAAATGACCGCGAAGAATTCATAACTCCTTCATACGGACTCCGTTTTCTTCTGTCTTTTTACCATTGAGTTCCTATTAATGAGATCTTCAACTCTCATTTAGGTCGCGTAAGCCAAAAACCGCTCGAACTAAAATTCAAGTTTCGGGTTGTACACTACTAAGCCGAATCTTAGAAAAATCATAACTTCCTCATACGAAGTCAGATTTTGGCGTTCTTTTTATCGACACTCTTATTTTAACATATTATACGACTTTCGTTTAGATTGCTAAGGATAAATCTCGCTCTATCGTAAATTCACTATTTACGCTTCCCGGTACCGTGCCGATTTTTCCGTAAAACTTCGACGGGCCATAACTTCTTTGTTAAAACTCGGATTTTGGCGTTCTTTATATGTACGGAAACCTTGTGACATATTCCACAACTTGGTTAAGATTATTTATTCTAAATAATCTTTTGTCGAAAAGTCATTTTCGACCCCTATTGCCTCTAAATTGACTAGCCCGGATCTACGGGCGTTACAAAATAGTCCTAAGTCCATTAAAGTATACTGATACGTAAATAGATACACAAATATGATTTTGATAAAAACAGAAGTCTAAGAATAGTTTTAAAATTGTTTTAACAAGTATTTGAGTATAAGAAATCCTTTCGTTTGATGTTTTCGCATGTAAGTGTTTTAACACAATTATATCGTATTCTACTTGTATTTTCCCCCTTAAAAGCATTTAAAAAGCATTTAAAAGCATAACACTGAAATTTTTAGCTGTATGAACTCGCCTTGTTTGAGTGGTTTGAATGAAAGTTCTATATAGGATGTTTGATTTCACAAGCTAGTTCTCGGGTCAAAACAAGTCCTAAATAGCAATTTACATAGCATATATGTACATAATTAGTGAATATAACCTCTAAGGTATTAGGAAAACAACCTAGGATGCAAGAAAAACTTACAAAATAAGTGTTATAAGCAAAGATGGGAGGCTGCAAGGAGTTCACGACCCAATGAATGGTTTACAGCCCAAGAACACTCGATGTTCTTGAGTTCACGGCCCAAATATCTTGGAGATTTGATGAATAAGTGAAGGTCCTTAGAAAGTTCCCTTGAATAAGAAGAGGAAGAGGATGATATTTGAGAGGGAAAAACCCTTGATTGAATTGTTGACTTTAATTGACCAAGTTTGACTTTTATAGGATAGAAATTTTGGGTTGCCACACATATTGATGCATGGCCACAACAAACGAGTCACCTTTTTCTATGTTGTTTATAACAAAGTTATAAATCCCATTGAATTCAAGGCATTTAATCTTCATGTCGCGAAACTTCAAACATATTTCATCAAGATTATGACTTTGACAACCTATTAAATCATGAAAAACATTTCCAACTTTTACCCAAAAAATAGGAGGTATTTATGTGTCTTCTGAAATAGCTACCCATGCTAATGCTAAGTTTTCTTGTTCATTTTCTGACCAGTTCATCCTTTTAGGAGCCATTGGTTTTGAATTTATCAAGCAAAAGAAGTGTGTGATTGTGAGAAGAAGAGAAAAGAATTGTGAATGAATAGGTATGGTATTTATGTAAGAGGTTTTGAAATTGCCATATTTATACATATTTTTAGGCAATATTTATTTACATTTTACATATATTTTGGTTATTTGATAGAATAATGTTACTTATAAGGATAAATTGTTATTTGCAGACAAAATAGAAGCATTCTCGAAGAGATGGACTAGAACTGACAATATTTGGAACTTTGGAGGCTTGAAGGGAAGAAGGCTGAAAAACTCAGCAAAAAACATGCTCACGACGTGAGTAATTAGATGTTCACAGCGTGAGCAGAGTATTCTAGAAGATATGCATCCGGGTGAAAGAGTCCTTATCGAATAAGGAAAACTTGCATTCACGACGTGAATCCTTATGGTTCATGACGTGAACTCGGTAAAATCAGATATTTTAAATTCTCTTGCTCATTACGACTTGAAAAAACTTTCGGCCAGAGAAAAGGGTTTTAGAAGACGAATTTCAACAGAAGAAAAGTCTTGGAAAAAGGTTTTCAACACCTAAAGAGTAGAGGTTCATAATTAGTTTAATTGTTGATACTTGAACATGTCTTTATACTTTGATTTGTGCATGTTTAATTGCTAGTATGTCCAGCTAAATCTAGCTGCATTTGTTAGCTAGATGAAGCTGGAACTCATGGTTTTGATGCATTAGATTTGACTTTACTTGTTGGTAATATGCTTGTGTTGATTGATTTTACCTAGCATGTTTAATTTAATATTTGATTGCTTTTAATTCTTGTTCTTTGTAGTTAGTGAATACAAATCTGCATGAATTTGAATACCTAATAATTCAGTGAACCCTAGTTTATTAGAGCTAAGATCAAACCAATCTTAGATAAGTAATTGAATCATTGAATTAATCCGTGCTAGAGAATTCATATTATGACTGCTATTGTGTTTTGATTAATAAATCTTACATGGCTCTAATCTTATTCAATAATTGATTATGTGTTAACTATTGTGTGACCATACATAGACATACATGAATTCATTAAAGTTAGTAGATTTAGAACTAAATTGCTAATACTATCTTAATTGGTACCAACAGTAATTGTCATAGATAAATTATATACCATTGAGGGAAAGTAGATTCGAACTAACAAAAGTATTTTTAGTAATTGATTGAATTTGAGTGAAGTTCGTCTGATCTTGTAAAATCAGATAAAACCCTTTTAAGTTGTTAATAATTAGATTAATTTAGTAGTAAGTAGATTACACTACAAGAAAATAGCCCTTTAATGACGCGCAAACAATGACACTCGCTGATAGACAACGCGCATTTGCAAGTGCCCTAAAAGATAATGTCAGTTTTGCAAAATTTGAAAGATAGAGGGCACGCATTTGTGCGCACCCTAAAATTAGTGTCAGAAAAGAAAAAAAAAGAAATGCGGAGGGCGCCTTTCATAAAATGTGCGTCATTTAAAGGTGTCGCTTTATAATTTTTAAGTGAAACACGCGTTTTAGGCGGGAAATGAAATCGATGAAAATTACCCCCGCCTATTGAACCCTAAAAATTAATCCCCCCGCCTCTTCTACTTAGCAAGAAAAAGCCCTAGGTCCCTCACCTTCATCTTCAGTATCATCAAACATCTCGTTCATCCTCTGCATTATTTCCATCGTTCTTCCCTCTCCTCACTGATCAATACCCAAAAAACCCTAATATCATAACCACTCGTCTTTTCTCGCACAACAAAATCCCAAAACATCACCAAATACTAAATTCCACAAAATCGTTGTGACCATTTTAGCTAGGGTTTTTTTCAAGAATGAAAACAATCTCGTATCTCTCTTAGCTCTGAAACAATGGATGATTCACCTTGCTTCGCCACTTCTCCTCCAGCGACGTCAGGCCTTCCTCATTACAAATCAAACCAACGATAAGCTAATACTTATAACTGAATGGTTTCACTCTCAGTTGGGTGTGCGACTCCTCCATCGCACTGATGACTACGAATGTGACTCTTCCACTACACCTGTGATTGCGTCCCGTCTCACCTCCCTGACCGCCACCTTAATAGGTTTATCTATTCAATTAGATTTTTCTTTTCAGTTAGAAATCGATTTCATCCCCTCCCTAGCTCTTCATCTCTTCACTAAAATCTCTCTTCATCTATCCACTAAAATCTTCACGGTTTCTTTAATTTCACTCCAAGGGTTATTTGATAGCTTTTGTATGGTTTATTCCCTATACTGAATCGCTAGTCAAAACCATTGTGGTGGTTGTGGCGAAATCAAAATGCGGGATTGAACCATTGTAGCAGAGAGATCTTGAAACTTTTGATTAATACTTCTCAAGTCGTCTCCAAGGTAATGTGAACCTCTTGATACTTCTCATGTTGACTCTCTTTTTTTAGTATAGCTATCGTCTTTTAAAATTAGGGCTTCTGTTTGAATCATTTCATTGAACGACAGGTGAATCAGACCATCTTCTCAATTTATTTGACATTGAAGAACAGTGCGTTGAATTTCTTTGTCGTGTCCAATTTATCTCGACCAGATCTCAAGCAGGTTTCAATCTTCATCTCTATTGATGCTCTAACTTTTTTCCTTCAATGGAACTGTGGATTTTTATAAACACTAGCTTCTACATAAACCCCTCTTTTAACCGAGCTTGGAAAGACCACATGACTTTCCACATTTAAGAGTTCTTCCTGAAGATGTTAATTATTATTATTAAATATTACTCTCTTCATAATCAAATCATGCAAGAAAATGAAATTCCTTTTATTAATTTTTTTTTCTAATAACAGGGTGTTGCAATGCTTGATATTTCTAATTATGGATGAAGAGTTGATCATCATAGAGATATGCGTATGGATATTGATCATATGTCTTATGAGTATACAAAGATTGGCTTCTTTTTTAGTCAAATTACGAAATTGACCTTTTGTGTATATGCAGGAGCTTCTTGCATTAGGTGAGCAGATTGGGAATGCTGGATCAAGGTTATCAGAGGATTTTATTTCAGGTTATTTGTAAACAAGGGTATTTATGTCTTCTAAGTTGGAAGTTGTTTCATCTGCTGATCAAGAACTTAGTTTCTGCGCAATTTGTCAGGTAAGGGAAAATTCGTAAAAAGTTAGGGAAAGAAAGTCTCATTTCTTGATTTTCATGCATGTGGTTTGCTTTCAACAATGGGACGCCTGAAAGAGAGTCAAGTGTAATTTTCATGCAGGTGGTTTGCTTTTCAACATGATGATACGTGTAGCCGCAGAAAATCAACAAGGTGGTGTTGCTGCTATAGACCATGGGGAAATGCCAAATAATTTTAGTAAATTTATATCCTGTTTATGATGGTATTTATTTTTTATGCGTAGCGTAGTAAATAAATATATTTGTTTTTTGATATGATATTAGCATGTGGGAATAAAAGCTTGTACAATGACAGGGTTGAGTCTTTTGCAGCAGCAGCTGGAGAGGGTCAATACAGGTAATTTCAGTTATTAATCCTGGAACAGATAATTGATATGTTTTGGTTTCTTATGTTGAGGGTTTGTATGCAGCAGGGGATTAAAAAGATGTAGTAGTAGTAGTGATAATATAAATACATTAGTGAGACGTCCTTCATCATCATCATCATCATCATCTCATGAAGGGGGGTTATGTGAGGTGGAATCAACTTTCAGAGAAAGAGAAACTAGGGAGAACATGATGATTATGGTAGGTGGTGGTGGGTTTAGGAGGACGTAATCATTGAGTGATGCATCTGTGGCATTAATAATAATCATCTTATTAGGAAGCCACCCTCACTAGATCCAGAGGGTGCAGCAGAGGGACACAATAGCAAAACTGGTGGTGGTGGTGGGAAAAAGAAAGGCAAAAAGGGGAGGCAAATCGACCCAGCTCTGCTTGGGTTTAAGGTTACCAGCAACCGTATTATGATGGGAGAGATCCAATGCATTCAAGATTGAACCCCTCCTTTCCCCAAGTTTTGTTTTTTATTTTATTTTATTTTATTATTATTCTTTCTTGTGGTTTTTATATCTATCTATATGTATCTGTATTGTATGTATGTAGAGAGTATTGGTTGGTTTGGTTGGATAGAGTAACTGCATCTGTATGTACCATAGGGTTTTTTCTAGTTCTACTCTTTTTACAGGTGTTTAAAGGTAAGAACAACGGATAAAACTAGAAGCCTAAATGAAAATTTTGGGGTAAGAGTTCAAATCTGAACCAGTTTTCTTGACAATATCCCATAAAGTAATGTAATCATATACAAATACCAAGACCATTATATTTGTTTACTCATATCCTATGTTATCTATGGTTAGGGGTGGAAAACTGAAAGATGTTGCAGTTGATGCTCATATACGTTCCTACTGTTGGTCTGGTGATCTCATTAGATCTGCCTTTTCCTCTGGTGATTCAAGATTTCCTTATGTGCATTCAAATGAGTTAGTCTTTGAGGTTTATTTGGGTTCTCTTTTGTCCTAATGTGCAGTTGATGCTCATAGGGATTGTGATCTCACCAAGTGATAATTTAAAGAGACTTGGAGTTTTATTTGGGTTCTCCTTTGTAAGCTATTTTTATTTGCAGGCCTTGCGTGTAGCTGTGTTTGCTGATGGAGCAGTTGCAGAAGGCTAGAGCTGCAGAATCTGATTTGGTGGCTGGTGAGGATCTTATTGAAGGAATAAAAAAATGGTAACTTGCACTCTCATTAACTCATATCATAATATTCTAGTCTCACTATCTTTGAATTCATTAGTTATGATTCTACCACTCTCATCGGGTAGCATTAACATAAAAGAAACTGACAAGTGCATTGAAATTAATGATTTCTTTTTTTGGAAAACCTACTTGAAGAGTACAAAGCAAATTTAGAACACTTGACCTTTGATATCAGGTAAATCTATTTTATCCTTGAATTAAGTTTTATCAATTGAAATTAATGATTTGTTGTTTAGCTTGTTATTTTAATGAAATCAGTTTTATTAAAATGAATTTTGTTTATGTCGTGGTCATGATAGATTGGTACACTGAGATGCTGGCCTGGTGGCTTTTGTCTTTCACTGTAAGTGGCTATGTAGTCTTTAAGTTTTACTCTTTCAAGTCCTTTACATGTATAAGGGCTGTTGGAGCTGGTAGACAAAGGCGTAGATACAAGAAACTAATCAACAACAGGTAAATTGTAACTAACTCCAAGTAAACTAATCATCTTAAACTTCAACTCCAGATATGCTAGGTAACCTGGTTGTTTCTGCTGATGAAACAGGTCAAGTTGGTCCTTGTGTTGCATGTCGTTGTTAGGTATTTTTTTTATTTATGATTAAATATATTATTAGATTAGATTTTTTGGTTTTTACATTTCTCAATTGTAGGTTTTAAGGAGTGTGAGTCAATGGTCAGCTGGGACAAGTCAAGTTGAAGAGAGCGTTCACAAAGCTTACATTTCTCTTATTGAAAAAGCTGAACACTTCATCTACATTGAGGTACATCATAACTTAACAAAATATTTTGGTTTTTCGTCATTTTGGGTAATTTTATAAAATACAACTTTTGTTTCCATATTGATCCGGGTAAAAGAAAACCCGTTAGATACGGGGAACCCGATGGATATCCGTTTGGTAAAAAATCCATATTTTTTTAAAATTTGAGATATATAAAAAGATATAATAATAATAATCATGATAACCAAAACATTCAACCTTGAGTGTCACTGAAAAAATCACATTACATGGATCAAAATTAAATTACAACAAAAAATGATTACATATATACATTTAAATTACATCCAAAAAGATTCAATGGATGCAATAAAAATTACAAATAAAAAGATTATTATTAAATTTGAAAATGTCTCCTAATTCCTGAACATATATAATCATAACCGATAAAAAAACTGAAAATAGATACAATCATAACCGATAAAAAAACTGAAAATAGATACAATCATTTAATAAGTTACAAATCCAAAATCACTGAAAATAGATACAATCATAACCGATAAAAAAACTGATTTAGTTACTTTCTACTTTCTAGTAGTGACAACACGTTTCCATGATGGCATGAAAGTGGTATTAAGTATTTGCATTCTTATTATATTATACCCCTCACATTTTCCCAAATTACCCCTTCCTCTACAATGTTTTTTTTTTTTGTTTATTTTGTGCATCAGGTAAAGTTGATGGAAGAAAGGAGTATAAAGCCACTTGATTTAAATCTTGCAGCATTATCAACAACATGCAGTAAAGACTTTGAGTTGAATTTGGCTAAGTCATTATTGAGTGAGATGGGCCAATGTACAACTACTTAACCATATAATCAGCTGTTTGGAGCATTAGTCTCAAAGTATTATGAAAGGCAAGATGCAAATTTACTTAGTTGATATACATAGTAGATTAGATGCAAATCTATATATTGTAAGAAATATAATTGTATGACATTAAATTTATGCAATGGATTCTATTTTTTGTATATGATATTTTATTTTCTATTATGAAACATTAAATACAAATTTAATTTGAAAATAAGTAAATCTATAAATAATATTTTTTTAAACATTTAAAATTATGATACGCAAAAATGTGTGTCATCTTCATTTATGACATGGCCTTTCTTGACAGGGGCTTTCTTGATACGCATTGCGTATCATTAACACGCGCGTCGTAAGGTTACGACACGCGAATGCGTGTCGTCTTCCTTTATGGCAGGGCCTTCCTTGATACGCATTGTGTATCGTAAACGCGTGTCGTAATTGCGCGTCGTAAATGAGTGTCGTAAATGCGCGTCGTCTATAGACGACACACAAAAGCGCGTCGTCTCTCTTTATGACAGGGCCTTCCTTGACGCGCATTTGCGCGTCGTCTGCGCCTTTTACGACGCACAATGAGCGTCGTAAAAGGCTGTTTTTCTAGTAGTGTTAATTAGTTAACACCGTTCCCTGAGATAGACACCCGACTTACCCAACTATTCTATAATTCAACTAGGTACACTGCCTAGGTGCATTTTAGTTAGTTAAGTTTTGTTAGGTTATAAATTATAAAATTAGTGAGTACTTTTGTGCACATCAAGTTTTTGACGCTGTTGCCGGGGAACGACTTAGTTAATTACTGATTTTATTTTGGTTTAAAATAATCGATCCTTTTTGTGACGTAAAACCTGCAAAAAGTTATTTTTCAGTTTCATTTTTTTCTGCATTACAAAACTCACGACGTGAGCTTTATTGGCTCACGACGTGAATCCTGTGATTCCTCATTTTCTTAGTTTAGTTTGTCTTTCTTAGTTCAGTTTTACATTTTTTTTTTGTTTATTTTGTAGGTGTTCATGGCCAAGGGCTCTAACACACCTTTGGTGCCACCTCTTGAAGATCCAGTGTTTGCCCTTCACAAAAAGAAAGAGAAGAACATGAAAGAAGCTCAAACACCAAAGAAGACACCCTTACAAGAACTCAAGTCAGTGTTCTCAAAGAAGTCGGGAAAGAAAACGGAATCGAGTTCATCTTCAAAGGACAAGAACAAGGTTGAAGACTTAGATCAAATACCTATCCCGAACGAATCCGAATACGAATCCGAAGCCGAGTTTGGACTTTATACAAGTGAACCCGAGAACGAGCCAAGAAACGAGATGGAAAATATTGAAGAAATATCCATGGGAGCTTACAGAAAGAGAATTAGAGATGATGTTGGTCCAGGTTTTGTACAACCTGCCATTCCTGCCACCGCCACATTCGTCCTTTCTAAACTAAAGGATATCCCATTCTATGGAAAAGATCATAATGATGCGTTTAACAACTTAGATGAGGTCACCGACATTGCTGATAATTTCAATGTCCCGGATGTGAATAGAGATATCGTCTTGCTAAGGATGCTTCCTGTTACTTTTAAGGGAGCTGCTAAGGATTGGTTAAAAGCACTACCACCGGGTACAATCACTACATGGGCTCAAATGCGTGAGCAATTTCTAGACTAATTATGTCCACCATCCAAGATAACTAAACTCAACAAGGCAATAGCCAATTTTGAGCAAAACCCGGGGGAGTCACTTTACGAGGCATAGGAGCGCTACAAGGGGTTGTTAAGGAATTGTCCTCAACATGACCTTAACATTCAACAAGAAGTGCCCATATTTTATAACGGGGTCAATGTAATGAATAGGAAACTCCTTGATTCTCAAGGACCACTTACAAAGAAAAATATGGGTGAAGTCAAGGAATTAGTTGAAGAATTTGCAAAGCATTCTCGTGAATACCACAATCCAAGGAATGAAGGAGGAAAGGGAGTTAGGAGTACACATTCTGAGGATATGGCTGGTATGATGGCAATGCTAAATAATATGGACCGAAGGCTGACCCAAATGAACCACTCAATTCATGCAATTAGAGTTGGTTATGAACGATATAATGGTCCACACTTGACTAAAGATTGCATTTGGATGAATATAGGAACAAGAAGGCTCAAGTTTTCTACTCAAGTGGGACAAGTATGATGAAGACTGGAGAAAACGAAAGAAAGAGTAGCTGCCTTACGATGAGTACAAGAGGAAAAAAGAAGAAAAAATTAAGCAGACAGACCGAGGCTTCTACCAAAAAGAGCAACCACCAGCCGAGAAGAAAGTAGACTTAGAAAACATGTTGACCCGATTCATGGAAGCATCCGAGAGAAGACATGATGATACTGATGCAGTGCTATAAGAACACATAAATATGATGAAAGAACAACACAAAATGATGATTGACCAGCAAGCTTCATTAAGAAATCATCAAGCATCGATTCATAGTTTAGAAATCCAAGTTGGTAAACTCACTACTTTGGTGAATAATAAGTTATCTTCACAACTTCCCGAAAAGAAATCTCAACCTCATGTTATGGCTATTGATACTGAAGAAGAGGCAATCTATGAGTTTTTGGAGGCACTAGAAGTAGAGCCAAAGAAGCCCGACCCAAAGCCGAAGACGCTGAAGCTCGAAAATGA